AGGGAAAAACTGTAAAATATCTAACCAGACATTTCATGTAATTTTTATTGATACATTTCATGTAATGTCAGTTTTTAGAAGTAAAAATAACGAATCAATGTATAATTTACATTTTAAAAACTGTAAACTGATATTCCCAGAATTCCCTGCATGACACTCCACATTTGAAAGTATTTTGTTTAAATAATCATGTTTTTTAAAAAGTTGTTGTTATTAGTTATGTATATTTGGGCTTTATGTTACATCTTCTGTTGTTTAATGAAAGTTGAATGCATTATTTAAGTATCATGTGTGTTACCATGATGGTGTTTTGTGTTTGCATGAATGACTCTGTGCACCTTCTATATATTAGTATTTACTTCTGCTTGTGGCGATGCTACTTGTGATGAGCTTTGATTCTTCATGTGGCTTTCTCTTTTACCACCTGCATTATTATGGTGGAAGTCAGTATGTTCAACGTACAAAACAGATTTTAATAGCAGAGTGCATTGTTGAATTTACTGGTTTACATTCAAATTTTCTTGTTTGTAAAGTATAGTTTTATACTGTAAAATTTACAGGTTTTGGCCGTAAATGTGTTTACAGTTTTTCTGTATTTTTTACAAAATTATTCTGGCAACCACAGCTGCCAAAATTATTTTGTAAAAACTACAGAATTTTTTTTACAGTGTAGTTATTCATCTGTAATTTTTCTTGGTGATTTTAATATACATGAAAACACTGTACAATGCAATGAATTAATGTCTGTTCTGGACTGTTTCAGCCTAACTCAACATGTAACTTTTGCTACTCACTCCAGGGGTCATATATTGGATCTTATATGTACTGTACATCTGGCTTATATAATATTCTTGTTAGTCGAACTGATTTTGCTTTTTCAGATCACAAACTACTAAACTTCAGTTTTAGTTTTCCAATTTTTACATCGCCTGTGAAAAAAATGCTCACTTATCGTAAAATCAGTTCTGTGGATCCATCTGCCTTTTCTGATTCAATAAGGGTTTCTACCTTGTCAGATTGTTTATTATCCAACTGTCCATCAGAAATATGCACCATCTATAATAATACATAATACCATTTCCCAAATACTTGAGAAACATGCTCCTGTTAAAACTAGACTGGTTCCATCTGCACATGTTTCACCTTGGTTCACTCCGGAACTTCGAGCAATGAAAGCTAAGGGACGTCGCTTGGAAAGACTGTACAGAAAAACAGGACTCACTGTGCACTCGTTGGCTTCGAAAGAAAATTTGCTCAATTACCGTACTGCCCTAAATGCTGCAAGATCCTCATATGTCTCTTCTACTATCAAGAATTCCATGTGCAGGCCCAAATCTCTGTTTGCTATGTTCAACAAACTCACTAACCCTCCACAACATGTTATTTCTGGTTCTGAGGTGCTTGTGAATAACTTTTCTCATTACTTTTCAGACAAATTGAAGTCTATCACTGAATCCATTTCCAAAGACACCCCTCATACAACTGACTCAAATGTTCACTTGATGTCAGCTGACTCGGCTCACACAACATACTCTCTTTCTGCTTTTACTCTCACTACTTCTGCTGCCATAAGTGATCTAATTGTGAAGTCAAATTCTACATCCTGCCAGACTGATCCTTCACCTACTGTTTTGATTAAGATGTGTGTTCCTGAGGTTGAACCTTTCATAACACATATGATTAACTGTAGTATAGCATCTGCCATTGTTCCAGCAGAATTAAAAATGGTTGCGGTGACCCCCATACTTAAAAAAACGGTTCTTGACCATCTAGATATGAACAATTAAAGGCCAATCTCAAATTTACCCTTCTTAAGTAAAATTCTTGAAAAAGTTGTGGCTTCACAGTTGAGATCTTACTTAATTGCTAATGGCCTTTTTAACCTTTTCAGTCAGGATTTCGTTCATCACATAGCACTGAAACTGCTCTTCTTCGTGTGGTTAATGACATTCTTCTGTCCATGGATTCTGGGTTAATAAACATCTTGATTCTTCTTGATCTAAGCTCTGCATTTGACACAGTCTGCCATGAAACACTCATCTCTCGGTATCGGTATCACTGGTTCAGCTCTTTCCTGGCTCATTTCCTACATCAGTGATAGAAAATATTATATCACCATACAAGGGTATAAATCTACCACTGCTCCAGTTTCACAGGGTGTTCCTCAAGGTTCAGTTCTTGGTCCACTTCTGTTTATCATTTATATATATCCACTTGGTGAAATCATAAGCATGCATGGACTTCAATTTCATTGCTATGCTGATGACATTCAAATTTTACCTAACCACCAGCTCTGATAGGTCATCACTGCCTGACTCACTTACTGCATGCATCAGGGACATCAAGCATTGGATGTCCTTGAATTTCCTTAAACTAAATAACAAAACTGAAATATTGATGATTGGCTCTGCTACCTCAGTCAAAAGGATTGACCTGTCCTTTGAAATTGACGGGGTTCATGTTAAGCCTACTTCATCTGTCCGTAATCTTGGTGTCTCATTTGACTCATCTCTATCTTTTGCCTCTCATATTTCTTCTGTTGTTAAAACCTCTTTTTTTCATCTTTGTAATATTGCACATCTTCGATCTTTTCTAACTCTAGCTGATGCTGAAATCTTAATTCATGCATTAATCACATCACGTCTGGATTATTGCAATGCTCTATTTCTTGGTCTGCCTAAAAAACTTATTGCAAGGTTACAGTATGTTCAAAATTCTGCAGCAAGGGTCCTCACCTCCACCAGGCGTTCTGCTCACATTACTCCTTTACTGCATGATCTTCACTGGCTACCTGTGGAATCACGTATTCACTTTAAGATATTACTTCTAACGTTTAAGGCATAAAATGGTCTTGCGCCTCCATATCTGTCTGACCTACTGTACTCCTATTCTCCTGCCTGGTCTCTCAGATCATCTGAGCTTGGTCTTTTGTCCATTCCTCGTTTTCGGCTGTCCACTGTAGGTGGTAGGTCATTTAGTGTTAATGCTCCGAAATTATGGAATTCGCTACCCCTTACACTTCGTAATATACCATCTTTGTCTACATTCAAGACTCCGCTAAAAACATGTCTTTTTAATATGTATTTTGGATAATGTGGCTATATGTGGCCTTATGTGTTTTGTATTGTGTATATGGGTGTGCAAATGTTTTGTTTAGCACTATGTAAAGTGACCTTGAGCTATGGAAAGGCACTATATAAATAAAACTACTTCTTCTTTCCTTTGCTAAAGTAAGGAAACTTTGCTTCCTTTGCTCCTGTTAACAAACGTTGGTTTTCACGAGACTCACCGGCGAATGCGCAGCACTGACCTCAACTGCTGGCGCAAAATAGATTAAAGTGATTATTAAGTTTTGAATATGGATATTTTTCTTACAAAAACGCATCGATTCGCTACAGGAGGCCTTTGTTCACCCCCGAAGCCGTGTGAGACACTTTCTTTTTTGGATGGGCGCTTTTTATTTCAGGTCTTTTGGACTGAAGAAATGCAACACCCGCTGAGTGGCATTAAACAGCTTGAAAGATCAAATAATTTTTTATGTAACGCCGACTGGATTCGTCTGAAAGAAGAAAGTCATATACGCCTAGGAGGCCTCGGGGGTGAGTAAAACGCAGCCTAATCTTCATTTTTGGGTGAACTAACCCTTTAAGGAAGCAAATCAGCATATTAGAATGATTTCTAAAGATTGGAGTAATGACACTAAACATTCAGCTGTGACATCACAGGCATTACATTTTAAAATACAGTGGTGTGAAAAAGTGTTGGCCCCCTTCCTGATTTCTTATTTTTTTGCATGTTTGTCACACTTTAATGTTTCAGATCATCAAACAAATTTAAATATTAGTAATAGAAAACACAAGTTAACACAACATGCAGTTTTTAAATTAAGTTTTTATTATTAAGGGAAAACAAAATCCAAAACTACATGGCCCTGTGTGAAAAAGTGTTTGCCCCCTAAACCTAATAACTGGTTGGGCCACCCTTAGCAGCAACAGCTGCAATCAAGCGTTTGCGATAACTTGCAAGGAGTCTGTTACAGCGCTGTGGAGGAATTTTGGTCCATTCATTTATGCAGAATTGTTTCAATTCAGCCACATTGGAGGGTTCAACTTTTGTCTCGTCAGTCGACAGAGTATATTCCCAAAAGTCTTGGGGATCATCAAGATGTTTTCTGGCAAAACTGAGATGAGCCTTTATGTTCTTTTTGCTCAGCAGCGGTTTTCGTCTTGGAACTCTGCCATGCAGACCATTTTTGCCCAGTCTCTTTCTTATGGTGGAGTCATGGACACTGACCTTAAGTGAGGCAAGTGAGGCCTGCAGTTCACTGTATATTCAAATAGAAAACAATTATATTACATTTTAATAATATTTCTCAATGTTCTGTTTTTACCACAAATAAATGCAGCCCTGGTGAGCACAAGAGATTTTTCAAAAACCAAAAATGCATTTAATGCATCCTTGCTGAATAAAATTGTTATATAATATTTATAAGTATTTTTTTTTTATTAGTGGTGTATATAAACTATGTCTTACCTGTAAACACAGCTGGTGGTTCAGTGCTGTTTTCTTTTGTTACAAAATAGCAAATGTGGCCACTGGTGTGACACGGCATGGACAAACACTTTACATTCAGAGAGCCCACCTGGAATAATCAAAAAAATAGGATCTGTCAGTTTGATGATTTTCTTATCAAATGGATGATTCTGATTGGCTAAACTGCATTCAAAGTCAATTTAAGCACATTTGATTATACAATACCATTTAAAAGTTTAGGATTGGTAAAGATTTTTAATGTTTTATAAAGAAGTCTCTTAGGCTCACATTTACTGTATAGGATAGATTTATATAGGCTACATTTATATGATCCAAAACATAGTAATAACAGTAATACTGTGAAATATTATTGCAATTTAAAATAACTGTTTTCTGTTGCAAAGCTGAATTTTCAGCATCATTACTCCAGTCTTCAGTGTCATATGATCCTTCAGAAATCATTCTAACATGAAATCTAGAAATCTTTTGTAACATTATAAATGTCTTCACTGTCACTTTTGATCATTTGAATTCATCCTTGCTGAATAGAAACATTAACTACTTGCAAAAAAAAAAAAACACACTAACCCCAAACGTTTGAACAGTGGTATATATTATATAAATCAGACTTGCTTTGAAAGTGTTGTGGTGTGTGACTTTCTGAGTTAAAGCTCCCACTCTGACATCTCCGCCATACACTGTCAGTCCTGGCATGAGCTTCACCAGCTTCTCATTACCTCCTGCATGATCCCTGGAAGTTACAAGACATCACATCTTTTTTCCCAACTCAACTTCTGTCATATCAGTGCATATAGACTACATACATACATTTATATATATATATATATACAGTGGTGTGAAAAGGTTTTTCATAATGCAAGTAAATGCAAAATGCAGTTTTTAAATGATGATTTCTTTTATTAAGGGAAAAAAGCTGTCCAAACCTGCCTTGCCCTACGTGAAAAAGTAATTGCCAATGAATCTAATAACTGGTTGTGCCACGCTTTGCAGCAACAACTGCAATCAAGTGTTTGCGATAACTGGCAATGAGTCTTTCACATCGATGTGGAGGAATTTTGGCCTACTCTTCTTTGCAGAATTGTTTTAATTCAGCCACATTGGAGGGTTTTCGAGCATGAATGGACTGTTTAAGCATCTCAATCAGATTTAAGTCCGGGCAGGGAGGGACAGCCACTGACTCTGGCCCAGAAAGAGAAACTGGCCTCTTCATACAAGGTACATTATTGTCATTCTACTGCACATGGAAAACAATCAAATATTTAGATTTTTTTTATGTGGACTGTCTGACTTTGCCTTCCCTTGCAGTGTCTGGTAACCCACTTACACTTCTGGAGCCACCAGACTATGATCCGCCGGTGAGTACTCTTTATTAAAATCATAGGCTTGGCACATCCTGTCAAAACTATCAATACAATTTCTATTGAATATGGCAGAGGGAAGGCACATCTGCAGCAGTGGAGTGCACTTCTGCTGATGATGAGACGGTGTCGCTGGACTCCAGAAGGCTTGAGGTGTCATGTCAATTTTGTGTAAATTTTTAGTCCATAATGGCTAAGTAGTCAGAAATGTGATTCTAATAGAACATATATTTTTAACAGGATCCAGACACTGTGCAGCCTAGTAACATAGTGAGTATTGCCTAAAGTAAACCTATATTATGCACAAATCCCGCTGTGCTAATTGATGGGTGTTTTACAGAATTCACAACCTGTCAGACGTCTCTACACAATGCATCTTAAGAGACAGATAGAGCTGGCAGAGGGCAAGATCGAAGTGAACAAGAGAAAGCTGCAGAACATGGACCTTGAGATGGAAATTAAATGCAAGACACTGAGGAAACTGGACTTGGAAATCCAGAAACTAGAGAGAGAGAAATAAGTGATTTCAGTTCACACTGCAACCATGACTGCACTATGTATTAATCATCGTTATTTTTTCTCTCAAAAGCTCCAAGCTGACAAGTGATAACAGCAAAATAACAAAATACAAAAACATTGTGGTCTCGTACCTTTTTCATTAATGTCCAGTACACTATATAGTTATTGATCCAGTGAATTGGAACTAGAATTTGGGAAGATAACCACACAGTGTGTGCTACTAATGTCAAACAAAATGCATGCACACATGAAAGAGTGAC